GCTTTCCATCTTAATTTTATGATTATTTAAATCTGAGTGCATGGTGCCTACAGAGTTCCGGAGTTGGCATTGGATCCCCTGGAACTGGAGTTATGGAGGGCTGTGAGCTGCCATGTGGGTGCTGGGAATGGAACCTGGGTCAGAAGCAGAGTTAGAAGCAGTCAGTCCTCTCAACCATTGAGTCACTATTTCAGACAAGACCTCAGTTTGTGGGCCAAGGTCTCCCTGAGCTTGGAGCTCCCGGATGCAGCTGGACTGGCTGGGCTGTAAGGCCCTGGAGGCCCCCATCTCTACCTCCCAAGTGTTTGGATGTCTGGCATGTGTGACTGTCCAGATTTTCACATGTGTACTGAGGATTGAACTCAGGTCCCATGCTTGCACAACCAGCATTTTACTAACTGAGCTCTCTCTCCAGCTCCCCAGTTTCACTGCTTGACCTGCTTGTTAAGACAAAGGAAAAGATTGGTCTCAAGGAAGCCTCTTCCTACCCCTGAGGCCTCGAGAATCTTGAACACCTGACCTCAGGGGCTTTGGGCTGCTGTGATTTTACATTTCAAACCCTTAAGGATATCCACTTGCTCTCTCTGAAAAGCTGTACTTTCTCCATGGCACAATCAATCGGTAGGAGGTGCTACAGTTACCCTATGCATGTAGGAAAGTCTACCTAGATGGAATCGGCTCCTCCTTTGGCAGAGCTGCAGGACACACAGGTTCTCTAGGAGCCTCGGGTACAGAAGAAGGGATCCTGACAAGCAGGTCAGGAATTGTTTGCCCCCATTGTTCCCTGGGACCTCTATGATCTTACAAGGTCACGGCTCCTTCAGAGTTTGTCCCCCTCCAGTCAGGTGATGCTAGTAGAGCTTCCATTACTTACCGAGGGTTGTCTGTCATCAGGATCAAATGCAGTAGTGAGTACTGGGACAGACACAGCATGGTGTGAGCCTGAGGGTCACCGCATTACTGCAGGGGAGCAGGCATGGTGCAGCACTTCTCAGTGTGGCAGAGCAGGCCAGCCCAGCACAGACAGCAGGATCTGAGGCTGGGTGCTAGCTTCCCCAATTGTGGGGGTTCGTTACTACTCAGGGTACTCACTGAATGACCCCCCCTTTTTACTGAGCTCCAAAATGCAGTTCCATAGTCTGATTTTTTAAATTTTGCTTATTTTTATTTTATGTGCCTTGGTGTTTTGCCATGGGTGTCAGGTCCCCCGGAACGGGAATCGCAGATAGTTGTGAGCTGCCATGCATGCCGGGAATTGAACCCAGGTCCTCTGGTAGAGCAGTCAGGGCTCTTAACCACTGAGCTCTCCAGCCTCTCATAGTCTTACTTTTGTATTAGAGGAATTCTGCCCCTAACAGTCAGGAAGGACCCTTTTCAAAATGTACATTTTATTACTATTATTGTATGTTTTCGTGTACAAGATGTATGTACAGGTGTGTGTTCTGCAGTGCATGTATGGAAGTAGAAGGCATCTTTGGGGAGTTAGTTCTCTCTTCCCATCTTATCATGCAAGGGTTCTAGGGATTGAACTTGGGTCTCTAGGCTCTGTGGCCATTTATGGGCCAGGCTATCCTATCTACTTAGGAATGACTTCACACACACTGGGCTGCCAGGGACTTCCCAGGGGACCGAGAACCGCAGTTGTGAGTTACATGTCTTTTGGGGGCTGGTGTCTGAGCTCTGTCTCATCCATGCGTCCCCTCCCACATATACCCACTGAGTATCACAGAAGGTGGTGGCGGGGCAGAGGAGCAACAGGCAGATTTTGGTGACTAAAGCCTGGTCATGAGATCAGCAAGCTATGGAACCATCAGGTGTCTGCGCGAAGGGGTAGAGACCATTGCATAGAAGGTAAGCCGGAAGTGTCCTGGCCAGGTCCCTGACTCAAGGATCACGTGATCCGTGGGAACACACAACCAGGCTGGGCTCAGTGAGGACTACCTCACTTCCTGTAGGTGAATGAAAAGAAACAGCTTTGCTAAATAGTATTTTGAGGGAATGAGTGATTTCTTACAGCGTTAAGACCTGTCTAGCCTTCTTGAATAATATGCTTGCTTAGGGTATTTCATGCATTTTCTTAGTAAACTAAAATTAATGGGGCCTCTCTCTGATAACTGAAATCTATTTTCCATATAAGTTTTATGTCTGTTGATTTTTCATTTTGTCTCCTTTTCGGTGTCAGGGATAAAACTCAGGACATCATGAAGGGTCAGCAGGTACCACTGGGCCACCCTGCCCCAGTTTAGCTGATGTATAAACACCCGAGGAGACGCTTCCAGAGGCTAAAGGTCAACCTTGATGGTCACCCACTTAAAAAAATACTGTGTGTGATGTGTGTGCATGAAGACAGGTCCTTGAATATCACGCCACATGTATGAGAAGTCAGAGAACAGCTTTCAGGAGTTGGTTTTCCTACTGTGGGATCCAGGGATCGAGTTCAGGTCACCAGGCAGGAGCAGCTAGGGCTCTGACCTGTTGAAGCCATCTTGCTAGCCCATCACCTTGCTTCTCGGGGCAGTGTCTTTCACCAGCTTTGAACCTGCTGACAGCTCAGCCGGGAGCCCCGCCTGTCACCCCAGTGCTGGCACAAGCACACCTCTGACAGGTTCTGAGGATTGAACCCGGTGTGTACATCATGCTGTGTCCTGAGCATTTTCCCCACCGCCATCTCCCCAGTTCCCGAGGCAATTTTGAAAAAGTCAGTACTAATTTTTGTATGTTTAAAAATAAGACCTTGTTTCAGGGACTCTAACTAGATGGCAGGGTAGTGACTATTCTAATGTCTACAAACCTTGCTCAGAGGCAAAGCGGCTCCAGTAATATTCTAAGTTCTCGGGACCTGTGCTTCTGCCTTCACCACCTGGGCAGGGACTTTGCCGTGGCCCGATGGATCTGTCTGGAGTGACAGAGACCGTCAACTCTGCATGCTATCTTATCACACAGCGGTCAGGCTGCGGGCCATGCCCGTGAGGGGTCATCTAGGTTAGGTTAACTAGGTAGGGGCTCCACCAGCTGTGGATGGCACCAATTCACTGAATAAAAAGAAACTGAGCTGAGCATTGACACTCCCCTGCTTGCTGATTGTGGAGTCACGTGACCAGCTACCACCAGTGTCCGCAGCGATGGCGTCCGGCCTTGCTGGCTGTGTGCTGGAACTGTGAGCCAGAATAACCCTTCTCCCTTAAGGGGTTTTTGTCACGATGGTGAGAAAGATAACAGATCCATGATGAGCGTTTTCCAAACGCACACACAGTCTTGCTTCTGGACTTCTGCCCGCCTTGTGCCCTCCATCTATAACGTGAGCTCTGACCGGGACCGCATCAGTTGCCACAGTGAAGTTTTAACAAAGTCTCGTAGCTGTAACTCTCAACTGGAGAATGTGGCAGAGATGAGAATTTAGCAATCCTTGTTCGCTTTCTTTAGCTCAGTGCCACACACGAGTGTAGAGTGGGTTTGAGAATCAACGAGCGACTGGTTGATTGTGTAAGAACAGGTTTTCGGAGTTAACTCAGCCCCAGTACGAAATTCAAAATGGGAGAAATCACATATACTTTTAGCTTTCAAGATAAATACTACTCCCATTTTATTTTATAAATACAGATGCTGAGTTTCCCTCCAATTACCAACAGACCGGCTTCACATGCCATTTATTATTGGTGGTGGTTTAAAACTTATTTAAATAACAAGTTAGGTCAGGATAAATGGGTGCCATTAGAACTGCTAAAAAGTACAGCTGGGTACAATCTTCCAACACTAATATTCTGAGGGCAAAATAAACCTCTGTAATTTGTAACGTGGTTAAGGGGAAATGGAGAGAGAAAACACAATCATATACTAATTGTATAATCTGTACAGGCTGTTAGGACGGTCTCAAACACGTGAAGGCTGAAGGGGCTCTTCGCCGCTCAGAAAGGGATAGCAGCAAACCTGTTGTTCCCCTTTCTGCCGCATAAGCAAATTTTGTTATTATTTTTAGTGATGTACAAGGCTAATTAAAAGACCAGTAGATCATCTGGGAATTTGGCCTTGGCCACTTTAAACAAAGGCAAAACATACCATAGCTGCTGCAGGCTCCGCCCAGGTCACAGCAAGTATCAAAGGATGCTCACCCTGTCCTCTAGCTTACCAGCACTGGGACACAGACATCACTGGCAGTGCGGGTTCTGCTAAAGGTATGGGCAGAACCCATCGGGCCAGAGCCGTGTGGACCCAGGCAAGGGCTCCATGCTGACTTAGGAGGTTCAGAAGGGCAGAGGCTGAGGGTAAGACCTTTACAGGCTCAGGGGCAGGGCAATAGAACACGCCTAGAGGCATTGGCATGAAGTCTCAGGTGCATCCCCAGCCCTACGAGGTCACAGATCACCTGGCACTCACTTTCCACGGCACTGACACTGACCTTCCATCACCTCTACCTTTGGGAGCCGCTGCTTCCCTGCAGGAGCCCATAGCATCTCTGTATCTAGAATGGCGAAGCCCTCCACCCACTCTGACTCTGTACCCTGTGAAGAAGTCTCACCCCCACAAGTAGAATAGATGGACTTCCTCAGACCAAGCAAAGGTTTCCAACGGCAGGACCGCTGTCTGCTGTGCAGTACGTCTGTGCGCTTGCTGTGCAGTACGCCTGTGCACTCGCGGTCTAGAGAAATCATGGTACGGATTAGTTCATCCGGCAGCACAGCTGCCAACTAAAGCTGTGGCCTAGGGACGCTCGGCTATAATATGGACACAATTATGGGACACGTGAGTTAAGGAGCTATGTGGGACATCACTACTGGGGAATAAATACAGCTGGGAAGTATGTGCCACTTTTCACAGCACGCAAACTCAAGTGAAATCAGCAGCATCAGCTTAGTGACAGTTCAGGCTCGCCTTGTCAGGACGTAACGTGAAGAGATTCAGGTTTAGAGGGGGGGAAAATGACATCCCCATCCCCCAAACCAAACCAAACCAAACCAAACCAAACCAAACCAAACCAAAACTGGGGGTGGGAGAAGATCAGGTCAAGTGAAGCAAATTCAATTTTTATTCTTCTATACAATACATGGATATATGGATAAATTTTTCTTTAAGAGCTTGCAACCCTGAGGCAATGTCCGTGGGTACATAATGTATAATGTGTAATGCAACAGTAAAATGGAATCTGAACACAGAATGACAATGGGTTTCAGAAACATAATTTAACATTGTGAGATTGCACATTGTCTATGCTTCATCCCGTCTCCAAATGCAACTGTCGCTCAGCTGTCTCGCCGCCTGCAAACTGGACATCCTGGCTCCACATAACTTATGATGGCTTCCTGCTGACTGAAACGTTATAAGTTAACTTGGGATTTACATCTAGGGGTCTTTATCTGGGGAGTGTATTGCTAGAGGTGTGCCCAATTTTGGACCACGGCATCTGCCCAGATAAAAACTTTGGCCCCAAAGGAAGCTGGCTGTCCTCTGACTGTGGTGACCTTGAGGTTTCTGAGGGTCCCCCGGGGTCCCCCACAGGAAAGCTTTGCATTAGGCATGGCACACTGGACAGGACAGAGCATCGTGTCCGCTGCTCGGACTAGCGAATCTACTGCCCCAGCTTTCAGGGTGAGAGAGCCATCTTGAGAAAGCAGGGCCAGTGGGGCCAGGTCTGCAGGCTGATGGGCAGCAGTCAGGGCGGAGGCCCCGGACAAGGACCCCCTCTGCTTCTTATTCATCAGCCTAAGGGGCCATCCGTGGGCCTCTCAGGAAGTGGAAGGGGCAGAATGCTGTTTTTGAATACTCTGTTTTGCAAAGTTTTACGAACAATGGCGAGGACAAATGCTGTTGAGAAACTAAAGGAGAGTTCACTCTACTACAGACGCATTATCATCTTCCTTTTGGGGGAAACACCGCGTGTAAATGAAGCGCAGACAGGTGCCTGTAAGATGACTGGAGCTATGACGTTTTCCCGGACACCACCGCCAGACTGGCCCCACGGTACCCGATGATCCCGAGTCCCCTCTGTTCCCAGAGTCAGCCTTTCTGAGGAATGTCCTCCACTGATCCTCATTTGTCCAGAATTATTAAAAAGGTTAAGTGCAGCTTGGGCCTGGGGGAGGGCGGGGGCTCTGCCCTGGTCCCGCCGTCTGCCCTCTCTCCTCACTTATCGGAACTCCTGCGTGGCCGGCGGAAGCTGGACACATTTTCACTGAGGGCGTAGATCCTCCGGGAGAACTCCTCAAACTCTCCCAGCACCTGCTCATCGCACTCCACCGCCACGGCACTGTCCACGGGGATGCAGCTGAGTGCTTCCAGCTGGTCGCCTGAGGTGAAGCCTGTGGCTTCCAGCCCGATGATTTCTTCTGCTTGTTCCACTGCGCAGCAGAGCTCAGCTGAGGAGGCCGGGAGGCAGGGGCCTGGCAGCAGGGCACCGGCAGAGCCAGCCTGCTCACCGGGCAGTGCTGTCCCGTTCACAGCCAGGTGCCCGGGCAGGGCTTCCCCTTGCTGGCTGGAGTCCGAATTTCCATGGTCTCCACTTACACTGTTGCCCAGAACTACTCCTGTTTTCTTATTTTCTTTGGAGAAGTCCAGGGACGTGTCCAAGGAGGAGGACAGTGGCGTGACCTTCCTCTCAGAGTCTCCCACAGCGGTCACAGCCACCCCGGGCTGTGTCAGTGCCGAATTGTAGCTGGGAGGAGGGGTTTTGTATTGGAGTCTCTCATTCTCTGAGCTGGCCCGTTTTCGATGTCCTTTGTCGGGTGAAGGGATACCCCCAGAGAAGCCTACATCTGCACCCCCAAACATGGAGCTCTGTCTCTTTGGAACAGGGATGGCGCTGGAGGTGTGATGTCTGTCGCTAGAAGACAAGTGAAAAGGAGAAGTTACTTTAGAACTCAGTTTAGATCTTCGAGCACCAGAGACATAATTTAGCATATTAGTAACTGCATATTTTAGGTTTGAGATAAAAAACAAAAACAAAAACCCAAACATCAGTCTATGATGGTATTTGTTATAGGGTTTACAGCAAGGAACACCAGAGCACACTTCAAGGATACAGATTTATTCAATGTATTTAAGACAAGAATGCCCAAGGTAGGAGAAGCGACAGAAACCACGTCAGTTGGGCTGACTGCCTCTGTGGAGAAACTCATTTCTGTGAACACTGCTGGGCCCCCGGCACTCTCTGTTCTCTCTGACGGTCGAGCAGGATGAGCTTCCCAGGGCAGCCTGCTGATGGACGGCCTTTCCGACATCCACTACTTATCCCCCGGTACAGAGAACCACACAGAGAGCATCAGGGGCCCCTTCTCTCTTTTTAATGACACATTACCATGGGAAACGGCTTCTCTTTTACAAGGCTGGCCACATACATTTTCATACTACTTGGTCTTCAGTGCCTTCTCTGAGCCAGGAATAATAACCGTTGTCCAGCCACACAAAACCTTAGTTTCTGAATTAATTTCACATGTATCATTTCACTCGGGCCTCGCAAACACATTGTCAAGAAAATAGTGTAAGTCCCGAATAATAAATAACCACCAATTAGTGGCGTAGAGCGCCAGAGCCCGAGGCATGGGTGCAACTTTGCCAGCAAAGCCTGCAGGGAGCGCTGGCTGCAGTTCGCGATGTGACCATGCGAGTGGAATCGGCTTCCGAACAACTTCCTCGATGGCAGCACAGTGCGCCTGACCTTTGTCCTTCAGATGAGGACACACATGTAGAGGGGAAGGGACTTCTCAGAGGGCAGCCACCAGGCAGGACTGAAACCACGTACCAAATGGCTGCTACCTATCTAGGTCTGCGGCAGGAGAGACAGGGAGCTTCCGATTTTGCAGAAGGGCATTTACAATTATTCCGGCAACATTTTCAAATTACATGTCAGCTAAGTTCTGACAAAGAACAAGGGACCTACGGTTGCTTCCTGTGTCCACAGACAGGCCTGCAGCTGCCCGCCGCTCATTCTCTGGAAAAGGCACCGCGAGGTGTCTCTCTGTAGACTTGGCACATCGCGCTTGGCCACATCACGGGGTCAGTGAGCTTCATAGCAAGAACAGGTCCCTGAGCTACACACCAAACCGGGCAAGTGGGCCAGCAAATGACTGTTTCTAGTTCTTACGAACAAAACGGCAAAATCTCCTGGCCTCTGTCTAGGTTTTCCGTCACTGTGCCATCAAACCCACGGTGACTGGCTGACTGTATTTTGGCCACCCTTGTTTTCCTCTGTGAATAACCCTGCAGGCTGGCCAGGTAAGCACATCAAAACAGATCCAGCAACCATCTTCGGACTGTAACCTCAGCATGGAAAGCCCAGGAGAGCAGAGAGCTGTTGGAGACGTCACTGAGTGTAGCCAGAAGCCAGGCACTTCATGGCTCTTGAGTGTGAAGGGTGAGGACCCTGATAGCCCTCTGTGTGGCGCTGGACTGCCCCTCACTCTCTGCTCTGCTCTGATGACAGCGGAGACAAGGAATCAAAGACACACCACCCTTACCACGGGGCAAAGGGATTTCAGTGGCCCTCGCCTGTGTTTACACTCCCCAACAGCTCTCTTTGGTTTTATACAACAGGAAGATATGAATTCCCTCCCACCAGCTACATAGGGAAGGGAGCAATACTTTCCTGAACATCTATCCATTACCTTCTTAGCCCCTGAACCCCGTGCCTCTGCCACAGGAGCAAGGCAGGCTCCTGTGCAGGGCCAATCACACCTGCCCTGGACTCAGTCTGACCCACAGCCCATGCTGACCATTACATTCCAAATTCTCCTAACCCTGTCTGCATCCTAAGGCAGGTACAGCCCAGGCCGAATGCCACTGCTGAGGCCTTCTCAGTAACCCAGACTCAAAGCCTGGCTGTTTACCCTCATCTCTCGGACAGATTCTAAGGCCCCCCAGGGCAGCTGTAGTGATATTCTTCTCTAGGTCACTCAGGTATTGATAGGAGCTCAGGAAATGAGAGTGTCTGATATAAATGAGAAAATTATAAAAAAAAAAAACATGCTCTCTTATAAATGGTAAGGGGATGAGGCCAGATGAGACATGTGGGCAGTCTTAGCACTAGGGGGGCCGAGGCAGGAGGGTCATCAGTTCAAGGTCAGCTTCAGAGACACAGTGGACCCTGTCAGTTACTCCCGACACCCGGCTAGGAGGTGTACCTACCTAGGAGCTCTTCCCTCTTAGGGTTGAACTATGTGAGATGAAAAACCTTGGAAGATTTTAATATCAAGAGCTTTTATATAATTTTAAAATGCAGAAAAAAGGCATTTCTTGCTGACTGGGCTACCGATATGAACTGCATTGCTAGGCAGTGAAAGGATGAAGAGCCTGCAGGGGTTTCGGGGCCACGGGCACAGGGTGGGAGCTGTTGTGTTCCTCCGGTGGCCGCAGGACTCTGCTGACCAGCTTCCCTAAGGACTGTGTGCAGTGTGCACATGAGCACACACATGGAGGTCACATGACATTTTGTTGTGTGAGCTCTGGGCGCTGAATTGCTGAAGTCACAAACATGATATGCTTTATGTGTGAACTTTGCAATGTTAATTTTAGCCGCTTGGAATGGGTGTTTCTACACGTAGAACCTCAGCAATATTCTAGATTTTAAGAAAGCTGAGCTCTGAATAGCTAAAGTATTAAATGATGACATTAAAATTATAAATTAATTATGCATGCATTTTCAATTACTACAGTAATTTATACTCCTAGGAAAACAACATGAATATAAACTACATAAAACCCTATCATGTTATTATCCATCAAGTAACTACTATTAATTTTGGATGCTTTTCTTCCAGATTTCAATTTCATGTTTAATTAAAAAAAACCCACAGTTTTGTGGTATATTCATAATTCTGTTTCCTGTTGTCATGTGTTATTAAAACCTCTGGGTGAGCAGCATTTTAAAAGGCTGCTTTAATGAACGGAATGTTGTAATTTATTTAATTATTCCCTCATTTTTAGGACGTTTCTAAACTTTTACTGTTAGACAACCAACAGCTGTTGGTTATCTCGTAGACCAATGATCTGAGCTCGATCCGGGGATTCACAGGGTGGGGGTGGGGTGACCAACCAGGAAATCTGCCTGGTAAATACATGCAAGCAAAAATGTCAAGCAAAAGAAAGGCCAATAATTGACCAACAATACTGACGCTCAGGTTTGAAGGTTTCACTAAAGGTTCCTATTGTCTGCGTATAGCCTTGCTTCATGACAACTTCATCTGACTGAAGAGTCTGAAATTCAGATTTACTAATGGGAACCAACTTTTAAATGCTATTGACAATTTGCTTCTCAAGTGAAACTTGTAAATTATATGAGCCGTGTTTAAAAGAGAAGTTCTACACTTAAACTCTCTCTCTCTCTCACACACACACATATACACACACACACACACACACACCGCCGCCGCCGCCACCACCACCACCACCACCAGGCAGCTTGAGGATACAGTTCAGTGATGGGAATATTCAAGTTCAACTTTAGCGAAGCCCTAGGTTCAACCTGCAGTGTTGCCAATGGAAGGGAGGAAGGGAAGTAGAGGAAACACGGTAGCTTTCCCTGACATCCAGCCTCTGCTCAGGGGCCTGTGTGTTCCTTCCTGGGGGCAGAGGCCGAAGTCCATTGCCTCTCCTTAGTCCTGAGCCCTGAGAAAATGAGTCTTATAGCTTGCTGTAGGTTCAGACTGGAAACATTGTATCTAGGGTTTAAGGTTACAATTACAAAGAATTTATTTAAAACAAAACAAAAACCCCACATCACATCAGCTCCAAGCTATCCTAACTTCAGATTTATTGGACATTGTTTAGTGGAGAGAGAGAGAGAGAGAAAGAGAGAGAGAGAGAGAGAGAGAGAGACTGGTAAATAACCCAATTACATCACGGGCAGCTAAATGACCTAACAGCAAACACTTGCTGTTTGACAGAAAGAACTTCAAAGGTCAAGCATCGGCAGGGCAAGAGGCCAAGTGGCTTGGAGTTGAAAGGTCAAAGAGGACAGCCTGGGTTAGGTTTGGATTCTACTGTTCTCTGATTCGGGAGTCCTCATCTACCCGGTCAGTCCTTCCTGCTCTTTGCAGCTCCATCTAAAGACTTCTCTGGAGAAAAGACATCCAAAGGCCTGAACTCTACCCCCAGTCCGGCTTGATTATCCCTTTATTTGGAGTTACAACTTCCCCATTTATTGGTTACATGACCGGGGCAGTTTTTTTCCTTTGCATGGTAGATCATCTGACCTTGCTTAAGACTAAATAAAGTAACATACTTAAAATCCTTGGCAAAGCTGGGGGTGGTAGTGCGTGCCTGTCACCCAGCCCTTGGGAGGTGGAGGCAGAATGATCAGGCAACACAGCTAATTTGAGACTCTGTCTCAAGAAACTCCCAACAAAAACAAAACAAAACAAAAACCAATGAAACAAGGCATCCGGGCAAAGGTAAGAGAGTTCCAAAAGAAGTACTGAATCAAGGAACGAAATTTGCCTGCTGGGAATGAGCAGTTTCTTCCCTCTTGAAGTATGGGGTGGGGAAACCTTTGAGTAAAACAAAAATGCTTAAAATGCCCTATTCAGATGATCTACCAACTGCTTATGGACCATAAGACCAACCCAGAAACCTCTGAGGTCTACATTCCAATTGTCCCTGAATCCCTGAAGCATAGTTTTTCTCCATGTATTAGCTCATGGAGAGATTTTTGTAAAAAGGAGACCTCTGTTTCCCTGACCTAAATCAAGAAGGCAGTGGCCAGCAGTTTAGCAGCCTGCCCATGGCCTCCCTGCGGTGATACAGCCTGTGAAACCCCTTAGGGAGTTCGGCTCTGCTGTCCTTGTCCCACCACCTTTCCCCTCACCGGGTCTCTGACTCTGAAAAATC